TTCCTAAGTCTATTAAGGAGCTTGTTCGTATCCAACTCAGTGACAAGAAAATCAATAAAATTGATAATGTTAATACTAATCTATGTAATTATTGGGGTATAGACTAATTATTTTTGTTGTAAGTAGGTGTTTTTTCAAAAAACAATTTTGCTTGTTAACAAGATTTGAACTATGATCATCAAAATCATGGGCTCAATGATCTAACCACTGTTCTATACCTATTTTTTTATTCTTAATGGCAACAACTGATAAATATGCTCTATTTCGGGGCCCCTATTTTTTAGGCCCTGCGCCGTCGCGCACTTTGCGTTAGCTCAGCCACACCCCTGTTCAGAGATAATATGCTCATGATGCTCAACTCTAATTTACGATTATTAGTTGTCTTTTAATAGTTTAATCTCTTGTTGTTGTGCTTCATTTATTTATTATAATATATCATTTTTTAAAAAACATTAGCAGATTTAATTGACATAAAATAATTAATTTTGTGCAATCGATATTACAAAGTAAATATGAAACTTTGTTTGAGAATCTGCATTATTCAATTGGATGCTTTGCCACACACCTCAAATGAGATCAGCATTATTCGATGGAGGCATCCTCTACAAAATGACGTTCTTAATCTGACCAAACAAAGCTGCTAGCTCGGATTGCGTCTTCTAATGGCCTTGTTTTTCTCATGCACACACCGTACCAAACATATCAAGAACAAAGAATCTGAAGCCCAAAACTTGAACTCAAAATAATCATTACAGTATATGAACGCTGTCGGGATGATTGAATCTTGACAAAATAGTTTGAATGTATTTAAAATTTTCGAACTTTAAACTAAAATTCTCATAAAAGTTGAAAGGTTGAATTTAAAATTTTCAAATAATTGGATACCTAAAGAGAACTTTTAAAATGATGCGAGAAAGCTTAATATTTTTTTTAGAAGATAGAGACTAAGGTTATTTTTCCCAAAAAAAAATTAGGGTAGGCTAGAGTGTCTTATTGCATAGAGATGACAACAAGGTGGGTTTTGATTTGACCCAACTTCAATATAATCTTAAGGGACGTTTGGACGGAGAATGTGAGATTCTTATGGGAAAAAAATCTAATATTTTCGATATTGTTGGATTACCGGTGTTTTGGACTTAAATGCCCTTAATTTTTTTTAAAAAATATCATTATTCTGTCATTGAATAATAAAAATTCTACGAATATTAAATTAAAAATTTATCATTGAACTATTTTAGATTTACAAAAAAAATCTATAATTAAAATTTTATATAAAGTTAAGGGGTTAAAATAAAATTTTACCCTTTCATTAAACCTTTTTATATTTTCAATAATATTTTATTCCTTTAACTAAACACGGTAATCTTACATCTCTACTAAACCAACCAAACACAAAATACAACATTCTCAATAATCCTATTCCCTGGTAATCTTACATTCCCACTGGTAATCTTACATTCCGTGAACCAAACGCACCCTAATAGATCTTGACCTGAATTTAAATATAATTTTACTTATCTTAAATTTGATTCGTAAATTTAATTAAAATGTAGACCCTAATCTTTTTGAGTTTAACATAGTTTTCAATTTTTCACATTTTTTAATCAAAATAAAAAAAATAATTAAATATAATATAAATTAATTTAATAATATAAAATCATAATAAATTTAACTCAAAATTATAATTTTAGTGTCTTATATACTATTTTCCACTTATATTTTAATCAACATCTAACTAAACATGTGTATGAAGTATGAAATATGTGTATTTTATGTGTCAGATTCGTAGTTTTTTTTCCTTTATGGCTTGATCTTTAGTAGATGAAAGATTCTTAAAAGATAATATCTGGTACCTATCTTTGAATATGAATTTGACACATACACATATACTTCATAAATAATAATGAACCATTGAAACAAAATGCATTAGAGATTATTCTCCACCAGTATGAATGTGGAATTCTTGTGTGTGTGTGTGTGTGTGTTTTGCATTGTGCAGTTGGTCTTGCAGGCTGAGAAATACGACTCTTATGCAAACAATAATTAACAAGTATGAAGAAGCTCTAATGCTTTCTTTGCAGTTGGGACGGCAGCTACGAAGGGGGCCGATGGCGACTTTGGCCTCAATGAGTGGAACTAGAGCAGCCGTAGAGAAACTGGTACAGATGATGCCATCGTATACATGCAAGTAACAGAAACAAAAAGAAGACTTTATTCTATAGGAGACTTATTTGTAGATGGAATTAACAAACAACAACAATCGAAGAATCTTAAATATTTATTGAATACAAGTGTCTAGCATGAATGCTTTAATAAGAACGAAGAATTGGAACAATATAACATTCCAAGTAAATTGCAGAGCGGCCCCAGGGAAGGAGAAGTTTTTCTAATTCTGACATGAAATCCTACACATACAGAGAACATCATTGCATGCATTAAATGAATATACTTCAAACACAGGTAAAGAATATGAAGTGGATAAACTGGCCAAATTGTAGATACCAAGTTTACCTAAAGACAATGAGGTTCCCTACAGCAAAAAGAAGAAGAGAAAAAGGCTTTTAGAGAAAAGCAACAGGTAGCACAAGGCTGTGAAAACGGCAGCAATATAACAGACCAAGCTGGCTTGCATGGCAGCAGTAAAAGCATTAGAAAGTAGCAAAACAGCAAAAGCAATCACTAAGCAAAACTGATATGTAGCGGCGTTTGGAGAGAAAACGCCACAAAAGTTAAACATATAGCAGCGTTTACAATCGTAGCGCCACAAATTGATACTTTAGCGGCGTTTGTTGTTTACTTCGCTGCAATAGATTTGACATATAGCGGCGTTTTTACAAAAAACGCCGCAATAGAGTGGTAAATTAGCAGCGTTTAAACCATAAACGCTGCAACAGATTGGTAAATTAGCGGCGTTTATACCACAAACGCCGCAATAGATTACACATATAGTGGCATTTATTCTTAAAACGCCGCAATAGTGATAATAAATAGTGGCGCTTTTAGACAAACACCACAATAGTTTTAATCAATAGTGGCATTTTTTAACAAACGCCACTATAGTATAATCAATAGCGACATTTTTTTTGTATAAACACCGCAAAATGTTAAATATATAGTCATCATTTTCTCCTACCCGAACCCTAAAATCATTTAAACTCTTCTTCCCTCAAAGATTCTTCTCTGGAACAACAATAGCTCTCAAACGATTCCTACCGACGTCATCGTTTGTATGTCCCAGCGACCAAATCGGGCCTCTCACCGACGAACCATAACACAACTACACGGTTTGATCCCTCTTATCATTAATGATCTTTTTCATTTTTTGGTCTTCTAAAAATGGGGAAAACCCAAAAAGCTAACGTATTTGAGAAAAAGAGAGCAGATGTTGCCTTGAGTAAGAGAAATTATCGTCGAGGGAATGTCTAAGTGGCGTATTTGCTCTGATGATGGATCAAATTATAGTTGGAAGGATATCAGTCCGGTCTCGCCGTCGAAATTGGATGATGACCCGAAAGGAACTCCTATTGCTCCATACCCTTCCATGGCCGATCTCCTTCTTGAAGGTAATAATCTATGAATCTTTCAGCCGCTATAATTTGTTTTTCTACGCTCAGTCAAATTTCATAGATTGTATGCATATAGGATCTTCGAAGCTTATTGAGAACGATGATAGAGGAGTGGATAAATACCCGATGTTTAGAACTGAATTTGGTAACTCTGTGGCGTTGAAAGAATCTTCAATTGCAAAAGCAATATCTATCCTCAATGAAGATGAAGTTGCCTCTACTGTTACTCCAAGTAAACATTTATATCATCTATTTAAATTTATTTTAATTTTTATTTAGTTCGTAAGCCACCTACAATCAAGTTTCATACTGTAGGTGAAATGTCGTTATCTGTTTCAAGTAAAGCACTGAAGCGCGCAAGGGCTCTTCTTGGTGAACCGGAGGTAGGAGATTTATTTGGTGAAATGGATGAAGAGTTTCTCCATATAGAGTTTACACGGAGGAAAAATTTAACGATACGTCGTCAAACAAGAAAAACAACTTTCCTACGTTGAATTAATATTCAATACATTGATGATGTATATTGTATACGTAGTAAATCACAATATATCACCTTATTAATAGAATAAATGATTTTTATTTTTTTATTAAATAATTGAATAATTTTATTTAAATTTTAAAAGATCCTATGTTTATCATTAATGAAATATCATGGTGTGGCTATCCGTTAATATACTTTTAATATACTCTAGTGATTTACACCAAACATTTCATCCAATAAGAGTGATTAAATATGCCTTAAATAGAAAGTCAAGGAATTACTGGATTCGCTTTAATGGATACTTTGAAGAATAAGAAATAAATATATTTAAAAAATTAGTGCTGAATTAAATTTTTAATATTATTAAATAAAAATTTATTTATATCAACATATAAATTTATTTATATATATCTTTTTAAATATCTTTTTGAACTTTAATTAGACTCACGCTGAGTTAAACAAGTAACTAAAAAGAAAATAGACCTAAACTAATTCAACCCAAAATATACATTAATGTGTATGTTATAATATTACTAATTAAAATTTGAATAAGAAAAATCAATGATTTAAAATTACGATATATATTAAATTATACATAAAAATGTGTCGTAATTCCGTTATACATTTTGCAAAATTGCAACATTTTTATTCTGTTACATATTATTGAAATTATTAGATTACATAATTAATTTTAAAAATATCAATTAAACATTAGTTTAGTTAATATCAATATTGTTGTAACATTTAAAGATTAAAATATTAAATTTATTTAAATATAATTATTTGATTCAAAAATTAGAATTAGATATAATTAAGATAATACATTTTATAAATTAAAAAGATTTTAAAATTATGTAATCAAAATTATATGATAATAATAATAATAATAAAAAAAAAGGTTGATACAGCTTATGAGCTTGCCGTGGAATTTTCCATTATACAGACAAGCAGTTAAAGAAAATAAAAAAAAGGGCAGGCACAAAAAGGGTACAAAAATAGAATCAAATCCCTACCTAAGGTCGTCTCTCGCAGTCGCAGCACTCTTTTCGGATACCGTATTCCTCTTCATCGATCTTTCCCTTTCCCCGGTAGAAACGTCCAAGCACCGCCATTCTTTCTATTTATATTTGTACAAACATACGTGTAAATTTACGTCTGCACATAAAAATTTTCATGCCACGATAACTTAAACGGAACAAATCTAGTAAAACCCTCCCGCAAAAAACAATGTACGGAGGCTCCTCGAAACTTGGCCGCGGTGGAGGCGGCGGACGTGGGGGCAGAGGCACTCAAAATCGTTCTTCATTCCCTCCGCCGCCGCCACACCGCCCTTCTTCCGCCACCCAATCAGGCAGGCTTTCCCTAGGCTCCGCCCCTCGTAACCGCCCCGGTATTGGGAGCGGTTCAGGACCCGCACCGTCTGTCGAAGAGAGCTTTTCGCTTGTTTCTGGTAACAATCCGTTGGCTTTCGCGATGATTATAAGGTTGGCGCCAGATTTGGTGGAGGAGATCAGGCGGCTCGAAGCTCAAGGAGAGACTGCCAGGATTAAATTTGATTCAATTCCGACTCACCCTACTGGGAATGTGAGTTTTTAAACAAGAATTCACTTGGGTTTTCTCAAATTTTAAAATTTTTCTTGCTATTAATTTCGATCTGTGTTCTTTTTCCTCGAATTTGGAAATATTATAGAGATGAAAGTAGTGGGATAATTATCCTGCTTGATTTGAGTTCATCTGGATCAAGCTTAATTTTATTTTCTTGAACTGTACTTTTATTTTTTTATGATCTGTGTGTGTGTGGGGGGGGGGGGTAATATTATGCCTGTTTGATCAAAATTTGTCTCGATTTAGCTTAAATTTTGTTAATTTTCAAATGTTTACAGTGTTTATTTTAAATTTGTGGAGTTTTAGTTTATGATTTTTGCATTTTAGGGTTATTTTTTACTAGCTATCTTTTGGTCCTCTGAATTTTGGTTTGGGTGTGACTATGACGACTTTGTGTGGTCATGCTTCTAAAGTTCTTAGTTTCCTACTGATTCTGGAAGTGTTAGTTGCTTGATAGGATTTTCAACCTAGTTTAGCTTCAAATTGGGTGACTTTATGAGGTAGGTTATGAATTTTGTTATGGAGATTGTAAGTCACGTTCTGTTATTTTATACAGATTCTTTTTGGTGGTTTACTGGAAGATGTTTAAGGTAGCTTGTATGATAATGCTGAGTTTTCTTGTTCTTTTATCTTGGGAGTATGTAGTACTTTTTCTTATAGAAGTATATGGGGGAGTTGGGTCTATCTGGCTTGTGTAATCCCTACAATGTCTTGAGTTCACTCTGCCGTAATATTTTTTTCCTCAAATGTGTATATATTCAATCTTAATATACTTTCATTGTTGGTAATTTTTAGTATATGGTTATTTAGCTTTCGTTTCTGAATTTGGTGGTTCTTACTTTGAACATGATATTGGCTTTCAAGTCTTGTGCAGAACTGTTCATTTGCCAAAACCTCTAAAAAAATATACATTTGCAATAAAAGCAGGCTAACCTGGCCAACTTGTTTAAATGATATGGTTATCTCTATCTGCCAATGTTGGTATTTGTTGCGTATAAACAAATGGTTGTATTATTTACATGGCCAGTTTGATGGCACAATTTGACAGTAAAAAATCCTTATCATTGGCACAAGAACTTTGTGCAGCATGGATTGAATTTGATTTTGATACATTATGTTTTCTGAGGCACATTCATCGCTCAGTATTTTATAGACTGCATCAGTGGTTTCTACTTGCTTTGGGTGGTTTTAGAATTATACAGAAAATTCTCATGATTAATTAATGACCAAAAGCGTGATAGATAGTTAATGACTTGGAATACAGAAAATTGGTTAATGCCTCAGAGTTCTGTTAATTTTCTGAGATTTTACGATAAAAATCTTGATTTGATGTTATAGATTTGGTACTATAGATAGATAATGACTTGGACTACAAAAAACCGGTTTAGGGCCTGAGAGTATTGTTCTTTTTTAGATGTTGCTACACTATTACACTAAGAATTCTGATTTGAAGTTCTATTCTCTTTCTGAACTAAGAACTGTTCCCATTATTTGTTGAGACTTTTGGAGACAAATTGCAAATTTATTTTCAGTGTTCGGCTCTTTTTTGGTTAAACTTGCATTTTTGACTGGGCTGTTAGTTATTAAAAATTACGGATTTAATTTATTGTAGGTAATTGATGTTGGTGGTAAGGAGTTTAGGTTTACGTGGTCACGGGAATTTGGTGACCTGTGTGATATATATGAAGAACGTCAAATGGGTGAAGATGGAAATGGTTTGCTTGTTGAATCTGGGTGTGCATGGCGCAAATTGAATGTTCAACGTGTCTTGGATGAATCAACCACGAATCAAGTTAAGATGCGGTCAGAGGAAGCTGAACGCATGCATAAATCACGCAAGTATGTCATCTGGAGGGTTTTCTCATTTTCATTGTCTGCTTAAGCATGCATATTTGTTTCCCCTTTCTCTGATTTACCTTTTTGTTTTTGTCCACTTAAAATGATTCAGATCTAGATACATATTCCACTATGATTGGTTTTAAAAGTAGATGTTCTCTTAGCATATAACATGATGTTAGTAATACACAATATGTAAAAGAATACCTCTTGACATTTCGTTTTCTGGTTAATTCACTACATCAATTGCTATTTTTGTTCTTGTTTAACTTAAGAGTATCTAGCTGGTTTACATTTTCTGCATCTGGAGTGTCCTTCATTACTCTTTAGCTAGTTTATTTAGCTGTTTTTTGGTAAATAGTACAGCCTTTTTTGTGGAAACCTCCTAAAATAGTTTAAAACTCGGCACATTAAATTCTCCACATCCATGTTTATTAATGGAATTTGGCTAAAATTTAATAATCTACTGAACTGGCCTTTTTAGCACTGCTAGATCCCGCTCTTCAAATACTGACAGCTTTGTGTGAACCTGAAGAAACAGTAATGAGGTATTGTTATGCATACATGCAAATAATGGGGCCTTTCTTTATGTTATAATAAATGCACTGAAGTGATGTCGGCAAGCCAATTCCTAGAAAAGCAAGCATCATATTATCTTGAGAGTTCTTCAGAACTCCTCTATCCTGAACTTTTCTCTGATAGAGATCCATCATAATTGTTTAAATCATTATAAAATCTGAGACCTTTCATTACATTAGATTTTTTCACATTGAACTATTGAAGCTTGTCTTCCGTGTTTCAGTTATAAAAATAATAGCCTCAATCCATTCATCAGTCTCAAATCAACATCGACAAGTTTTGTACAAACAACCATCTGATCTTTGAAATCGCCTTATAAACTATTTTTTGTCATACCCGATTATTTTCATAATAGTAGCATATATAATTATTCTCACTGCTTATTTTGAAATCAGAATTGCTAAAGTTGCACCTTTCTATCTTTCAGATTATTTCTGATGTTTAGGCGCTTTTTACTATTCAAAATGGACACTAGCTGAAAAAGAACATTCAGAAAGATGTGCATAACGCTGCATATTACCTAGACAAGTCAAACAATATTAGAAACCCTTCTGATGAGAAGCACTTTGTTATATTTTTTTTATAGGAGGTGGAGGCCTCGTTAAAAACCCCCTTCTTGATTAAGGAACTGAGTTCCTTCATCAGAGGAAGGAGGAAAAGAGTGCCTTATACTTCATTAATAAAAAATACATAAGATTACAACATGAAGATAAGTCCCTTACAAAAAATCCGATTAACCCAAAATAAAAAACCCCTAAAACACACTGAAAGAGTGCCTCAAATTTCATTAATAACTGAAAGATTACATAATGAAAAAAACAGACAGTCCCCTTACAAAAACAACCCGAAACACACCCAAATACACATCTAACATTAAGGAAAAAACATCAAAACCCTACAAACAAAAGAAACTACCCAATACCAATACCAGCTCTTTGTTATATTGAAATTACCATTTCTTAGTTTGTATTAGAAATTTTGGATTCTACTCCTTGATTATGTTTCATGAAGTGATGAAGAAACTCTGGCCTTTCAATTTATCTTTTATGTGGTTCTTTTTATTGTTTTTATTGTAAATATTTTATGATGCTACACTCTTATGTTCTTAGTCACTTTTGTTAAAAGGGCTAAGTTTATTGTTTTCATCTTCTCCTTTTTTCTGTTGATGATAGATCCATTATATTAGACCATGGAAACCCATCTATGAAGAATCAAATCAAGCAATTAGTTGCTGCTGAGGGTAAGTTTTTCTTCATGATATTGTGTTTCCCCCCCCAACCCTGTATCTTACTCCATACACTGCATATTCTTGTGTTTTCTGACATATAGAATACCACCAATGTAATAAGCATCACAGCAAGGGTATGCTTGGACTAAGATCTATTTAAGATCTATTCCTTAGCATATTTTCTTAGAATGTATATTCATGAAATTTTCTTTTGGGTAAATATACATTGTGGTACTTGAACTTGGCTTCAAAGTTCAATTTGCACCTGAATTTTTTTTTGGTCCAATTAGGTATTTGAGCTTGAATTGTGTTATACAAGTTATCCCAAACTGTAACACCATTAAAATTTTTAAGGGTTAAGGTTTAAATTGGTAAATGACCTTTTTTTTGGTTCAAAACGGCACATATGATTTTTTTTAACCAATTTGATCCAAGAAGACAAGTTCAGGTAGCAATTTGATCCATGAAGCCAAGTTTATGTACCAATTTGAATCTTAATCCTTACAATAATGATGTTATATTTTGGGGTAACTTGTATAACAAAATCTAAGTTCAAGTACCTAATTGTATCAAATAAAAAAGTTTAGGTGTTAAATTGAACCTGGAAGCCATGTTTGAGTACCAAAATGTATATTTACGCTTTTCCTTTTTGGTCTTAATCCTATGATGCATGTGTTATCAAGATGATATAGTGAAGTTGCTTCTTCAATCATGAAATCCCTTATGAGGATGGTTCTTCTTATGTGTATTTTTAGCCTTGGGCCTCACTCTCTTTAGGGAAACATGATTTGCTTGCACGATACCTACTAAAAGATAATAGACGGAAGATCCCATTGAAAATATTTTCGCTGAGTAATTGTTGGCAAAGAACATTTAAGATTAAAAGATGTCAATTTTCAAAGAATGGATTGTTCACTGTCTTATGTCTCTTGTGTTTGTAGCTAGTCCTTGGAAGTCCCATTTTAAAAAGAAGGAGATTGCTTTTAAGAAGCAAAAAGTTGACACCCCTCAAGGTAAATTATTTGGATTTCATATATCTAATTGAATATGAAAATTGCCTTTTTTGTTTCTTTTGCAGTCTCTCCAAAATTAATAATCTGTCGGAGGTATTGAGATTATATTTTAATTAATTGCAGTTTGGCAGTTCCTTTCTCTTCTGTTTACATTTCTTGACAAGTGTTGTTGCAATGTATGTATGCACCATTTGCAGCTGCAGGCCCTACAAAATCTGGCTTTAAATCTGGATTAATTTCAGCTGCTACTGCAAAGGGAAGACGCTCATCTTCACCTTTACCATCTCCACCCGAGTGCTCTGGTGCTGCAGCTTCCCCAATTGGAATTGGAAATACCGCCAAGACTCATACAAGCAGTGAGGATGTTATTCCTCTGCAGGTGAAAAGCAAAGAAAATATTTCCATCTCTGAGAAAGAAATACTAACCAGGGCTACTAGTGTAGTACGTGAGATGCAAGAGCGCAGGGGAAATTTTGGACCTAAGCCAACAAACTTGCAGAGTCTTCTGATCAGTTTACTGAAGGAGAACCCCAAGGGGATGAGCTTAAAGGCAAGGGATATGGGTTGAGTGAATGTTTTAAATTAATTTCTCTTCTTTTGCTACCAGGGCATGTGATTGGTTTTAGGCTGTTTATTTTTTTTGATCATTTTATCGCTTAACCTCTCTCTGAAATCGTGACAGGCCTTGGAGAAAGCTGTCGGTGATACAATACCAAACTCTGCACGGAATATAGAGCCCATTTTAAAAAAAGTAAGTGATGGATCCTTGATGCAGAGTATTTTTAAGAATAGCATGTAAGCTTATGGCTTCCTTTAATTTCGCGCATTAGATTGCAACTTTCCACGCTCCAGGAAGATATTTCTTGAAACCAGGAGTGGAGTTGGAAAGCTCGAAGAAATCTTCATCTGAAAGTCGAAGGTACCCGACATTTTCATTTCCAGTGGGTTTGATTTGAGCTGCTGTAGTTGAATTGAATTCTTGTCATTTCTTTTTCATCTCTATATTTCATGATTTCTTATTCTCATCGTATGACTCAGCGCAAGATTTTAATGGGAAAAGAACTTTAACTAAGCTTTTCTCTATATATAGATAGCTGTGATCTACCAGAAAATTTACTGACTTTTTAGAGAAATTATCATTTAGGTGACTTGGAGAATCTCATGTTTTATAATATCCAAAATTGACCAATTTTTTCCCCTTTTTTGAGAACCTCATGCAATAAACAGTTTTTGGAATATCATGCCATAAATATTTTGCTCGATTATCTGAAACTAGATGTTGCTCTTGTTATTGTTAATCTTCTTGTTAGTTCTGCTCAATAATCAATTTAAATAGTTGTAAGTAAAGATGGGTACAATAAAAATTGGTTGGTGCCTCTTCTAAGTATCAAGAACCCTGGGAGCCTCGTTCTTGGTTTTTACTTTCTTGCTTGTATAAAAGCTTATCTATGTGTTATATATTGCAGTATACAGAGCCTTAATCTTTTTTTGTCTATATTTTTGCAGTTCACCTGAAGATAATCGTCATGAGGCTCCAGCCCCTGAAGAAAACCAAGACCAGATACCGGCTCGAGCATCATTATCAATGGAGAATGTTACTCATGATGAGATGGAGGAACAGACCCATTTAGACCCTAAACTTACAGTAGAATCAAAAGTGTTGGAACAGATTGACATCCAACAACATTCACCTAAGTTGGATGGTGAGAGAAAAGCTTCTGAAAATAGCGGGGGGCCAGCAAATAGTGCTAGTAACAGTGGCAGTGATAGTGAGAGTGACAGTGACAGCAGTGATAGTGGAAGTGACAATGGAAGCCACAGCAGGAGTGCAAGCCCGGCAGCAAGTGGGAGCGGTAGCAGCAGTGATAGTGAAAGTGATGCTTCTTCCAACAGCAAGGAAGGGTCTGATGAGGATGTAGATATAATGACAAGCGATGATGACAAAGAGACAAAGCAGGATAAACCGACATCTGAACCAGGACTTTTGACTTCACCTGTACCATGGCAAGCAGAACATGACACATCTCTGCAGAACGTAATGGTTGAAAATCAAGATGATGATGGATCTGATGCAGTCGATATTGAAGGTAATGTATCTGATGCTGTTGATTTCGAGGGTCATGGATCGGATGCTGTTGACATTGAAAAAGACTTGCCTGAAGATGACCAGGAAACTGGAATGGCTGCCAACACAAACAAAGATTGTGAGAAACATCAGGAAGGAACAAAACCCTCTTCATCTGATCATGATGAATTCCAGGAGCGCCAAAATTTCATAGGAAATTTGTTTGATGACACAGAAAACACCATTAAGAGTAACACCAGGAATGAAAAATCTGATTACTCTGTGAAGAGCAAAGGTAAATCTAAAAGGGGATCCGATTTGAAGGACATTGATGGGAAACCTGAGCGATCTAAAAGATTGAAGTCTGAAAGCATGTCTCAACCACCTGTTTCTGGGAGTGGAGATGCGGAGTTCTTTGGCAGTAGTAGACCCATTGATGAGCCTTACCAAAGCTCAAATAAAAGTGACAAGGAACATGCCGACTCTCAAAAGGGATACAACCAGGTGTTTCCCAGGAAATCTGGTACTGATTTTCATCAATCAGGTCGTAAGTCGTCTGATCCAGGTGTTCGGACTAAAGCTGTTAATACAGCTGAAAGGCCTTTGAAACATGCTGAGAGCTCAGAACATGGTAGTAAGTTCACCGAGAAAAATGTGCCTAAAAAAGATAACCCTTCTAGGGACACCCAAAATGAGGATGATTTAATGAAGGAAAAAAATCCACTGACAAATCCTAAAGGTGACACTGGAGATAAAAATGTGGTACCTTCTGATTTCCATCACAGGAAACATGGTGAAACTGTTGGAAAGTCCAATGATGCTGGACAAATTTCTGGCTCGTATATTAATTCTTCCCCCAAGGATAACAGCAGGGTTAGTGAAGATAGATATACAGCTAATGGTAAAAGCAACATTCTCCAACGAGAGCTTTCGCACTTGGAGTTAGGTGAGATTCGTGAGCCAGTGATTGAGGAAACACCTACAAAGAAGCAATTTGAGAGGAAAGGTTCCTTTAAACAGTCAGTTAGTAGACCGAGCACCTCAGATAACTCTAATCCTGATCTAAGCAGGGGAAAACCTATTGGGAAGACAAATTGGAATTCAGGAAAAACATGTTCACCTAATCTAAGTGGGCTTAAAAGAACACCAGAACATCTTGTTGATGATTTATCTAGATCGCATCATAGGGTTATTCAGTCTCAGCAGCAGCAGCTCTCAAGATTTGACCGTCCAGAAGTTCCGTCCCAGTTTAACAAATTGGCTGATAATAGTAAAACCAAGCAAACAGACACTGGTGCAAAACTGGGAGTTGGCCTGGAGGATTATGGTGAAAGCCAAAAGAAAGCACCAGCTTGTGCCCCACAACAGCAGGAATCTAAGCGAGAATCAGTGTCCCAGTTCATAAAGGGAAGTAAAATGCCAAAATCAAATAAAATGGCGGATATGACTGATACCTGCAAGGATGCAGTTCAGAAAGAGGGAAATGTAAATGATCAAAATAAAAGAGGATCTTCTTCAGATAAAGACTATTTGCCTTATTTTAAGTATGAAAAAGATGAACCAGTGCGCAGAGGACCCATTAAGGATTCATCTCAGTAAGTAGTTATGGTTGTAGATGTATTTGTTAAATTGAGAATGTGGTGACTGTGTTGAATGTTAGAGGACTGTGCCATCTAATTGACACTATTTTTATTTATTTTTATGCTAGGTATGAAGAGTATGTGAATGAATTTTGTGAAAAATATGAATCTTACAAGGACTTGGACAAGGTCCTACATACATACGGGTATTGTTCAGACTTGAGAATTATTTCGCTCATTTACGAGTTTGGTGGACTTTGTACTGTGTTTGATGGACTAACCTCTTGATATAGGTATGAATTTGAAAAGCTGGGTAAGGATCTCGAATATTGGAAAGGTAGGGACAAGGAAAAATACTACAAGACGTTGGACCAATTGATGAAGTCTTATCACCAATGTGGAATGGTAAATACCTCTTTCTATCGTCTGTGGTATATGAATTTTATCATTGATGATGGAATGTTTTAAGACATGGAATCCTCTTGAGAGATTTTGTTTACTACTCCTGCCTTATATATTGAACTTCAGATTATTATCATGTTTAGGTATTGATGCGGATTTAAAATTAAGGTTCTGCAATATGATTCTGACCTCCTTATCGTCATTTAGTTAGTAAGAAGATGATAATTGGCAGGGGACAGTCTTTTTCTTATTTTAAGGAGGTGTTTAGAGTTGAACAGAACAGATTTGAGGGATAAGATCATTTGCTAGCTGCAAAATTACTTCATTATGTGATTTTCTAGAAGAAGTTTGCACATAATGATAATTGGGCAATAAGAAACTATTGTGGAAGATCTCATAACAGTATCTTATGCTTTGTGTATTGTATGAAAATCCCGGTGCTTTCTATTATTTTGAAAACAAAAGAATATTGAAGATCTGTATCTGTTCTGAAATGTTTCTAGTGTCCATATTTTACTTAAAAAAAGCTTTAGGATTTATGTTCTGATGAAGTGCTGTTTTGGTTGGCAGAGACATAAAAGACTGAAGAAAATATTTGTTGTGCTTCATCAAGAACTGAAGGTTATTGCGAGTACTATCATTTTAGTCTCTCGTGCTTTCTTTCTTCTCTTTCCTTTGTGATTGATAGCTTGATAGTTTCTTCCTTATTGCAGAACCTTAAGCAGAGGCTCGTAGAGTACGCCGAGTCGCACTCAACAGATTGATTGTGAATTATTCCAAACCTTTTTCCATTACCAAGCTGCAATCGGCATAGATCATTCCCCATTGCCTTTCAGAAAGACATTCACACAAACAGTGATGTGTTTCGTTGCCTCTTTAAGAATGGAGCTCTTGTAAATGGTTATAGTTGGTCGTTCAAGGTGATTGGAATACATCGCATTTGGGTCCCATGGTCCTTGAAGGATTGAAAGTGATTCGCAAATAGGCTGAACCCGAATTTGGTGTGTAAAATGTGTAGAATTTTGGCTTTTGGGCACCAATTTTGTTCTAGAGCTTTTTGACAGCTTTGTTTGATCTTGCTTGCTACCAACAATTTGTTTCAATGTGTATACAAATTGTTGACAAAAAATGATTATCCATCATTGAAATTGAACAAAAGATGTCTTCTTCAAACCTTTAAAAGGTACACAAATAGATGGTGGTTTATCCGTACCGGAAAAAAATCTGAGAAAATAATAATAGATGAGTAGCAGCACAAAGTTGGTGGATGGAAGGACCAAATAAGGTAATGATGAAGAGTGGTATTAAGCCATTGAAGCAACCTTGGGTAATTGCAGTAACTGATTTGCGACACGCCGGCCAATTTTCAGCTTGTTCGTCAAAAGCACATTGACAATGTCTTGAAAACAAGCTTCAACATTGTACAACTGTGACTTGCATGACTGAATTTCAGTAAGCTCAGAAGCATGAGCAGAAGGTATTGCAACAGATGGAGATCCACTGGTAAGTGGAAAGAATGGAAGCCGAGGCGGCGACACCGGCGACATCGTTGTAGCCAACATCGTTGCATCAGGAAAGTCCAAATAGCATTTGCGTGTGAAGGGATCTTGTTCATAATATAATGAACGGTCACCTGTGATCAGGGAAGTCCGTGGCTGGCCATTGTGTTCCCTACAAGACTGAGCAAGCTAAGAGAATCAGCAGTGATCTCGTCCAAATTGTCTTGCCATCCATACCTAAAATAGTATTCCAACGTTTTTCTGCCTAAAATATTACAAATTAAAAACTTCTCTTTCAAGAATTATATTATTTTTTCAATATCCAAACTCTCTAGATTACTTATTTATATTATAAATAATTTTATACTCAATTAAAAAAAATACCATACCATCCATCTGATTTTCAATATATCTTTCAGTAATATATATATATATATATATTATCGCATCACAAAATAAAATTCATAAAAAATTAAATTTAGAATGATAAATAGGATTCAAGATTTTAATTGGTTCCTAAGTATGCCTGAACCAATAAATATAATAAAAGAATAATTAAAAACCTAAATTCATGTGATAGGTGAGATCCAAAATTGTGATCCAATGTTTTTTCTTCCTCTGAGAAATACTAAAATCATCGATAAATGAAAATAATACAAAATAAAAACATCAAGGGAAATCATCGATAACTGAAAACGACTTTTAAAGTCACCGAAAAATTAACATATTTTTTTCAATAACAGTAAATTATAATTTTATCTTATTTCTCTAAATAATTTCCATTTTATTATCTTATTGAACTTTTTCTCTAATATAGCCCAACTCGCATGAAATAAAAATCCACAGCACATGCCATCTTCAAATGTAATAACAACCACCGTTGATAGTATGAACAAATCTTATCCAACGGTATAAGAAAATTCCTATGATCCCAACTTGCATACAGTTACCTGAATAGTTCATTTATTTTTTTACTTCTTAATATAATTTTCATTTCTTTCCTCTCTGAAGCTTCTACCAGAAAAGCCAAGAAAGAGAGAGGGTATTTTTATATTTTTTATTTGATGATCCAAACAGAAGCATTTAATCGTTTTATCTTCTCAAAGGCCCCCTCTTCTAATTCTTCACCCTAATATCACCCTTTTTACTCTCTGCTCATACATTTTGCCCCCAAAAAAGCCCATAAAATCTTTGACCAGAAAAATGGATTAAAAGTGAACATGCACTTGGAGATATTTCAAGAAAACCCAGAAAAAACCTAATTTTAATTAAGAAAAGCGGCAAAGGAACCAAAAAGTAATCTTCATGTCAGAAAGAAAAGAGGATTTTTCCCTATATCCTGTTTTTGGTTGTTTAGATTGGCTTTCTCTTCCTATACCCTAGATCCTTTTTCCTTTCATAAACTCCTTCAAGCTTAGGCTTACCTGTTTTATGGTTTTCTTTTGTGGGTCTATCATTGTTTCGTTTCTGGATTTTTAGTTGCATGCATGTTTAAGGTTTATGTTCTTATTTCTGCTTTTTTTTTGTTTTGTATTTCAAAAAAAAATCTGGGTTTAGAGGGCGTCTGCATATGTTCAAGCAATCATTTATTTTGGTTATTTTAGGGTATTGGGTCTGCTTCAAAACGGCGACTAAGGGTTGGGTTTGAAAGATTAGATTTCTTTAACCATTTATTTTCTTTGTAGGATTTTGTTGGAGGGGGTTTCTGATGGTGAGCCCCGATGAACCCAACATAAAGGCCATTGATGCGTCGGTGGGTGGCTTGGTTTGGGTCCGACGCAGAAACGGTTCTTGGTGGCCGGGTCGGATTGTGGGCCTTGACGAGCTCTCCGAGGTTTGTTTGGTTTCTCCAAGATCCGGTACCCCTGTTAAGCTTCTTGGTCGTGATGATGCAAGCGTGTGAGCCTATTTTTTAATCTCCTAATCACTTTTTAGATTTCATTTAGATAGGTTTATGGTTTGCATTCCTATTGACGATTCATTGTAGTTGTTTTCTTCTATTTACATGTATTTGTTTAGTAGTTTTAATAGTTTTGTTAATTTTGGATTCTTTGTATTCCTTAGTCAGTAATATAGTGAAAAGGGGGTGAATGCATAAAACTGTTTATGGTTCCATTTTGAAGAGAACATTGCAAGTCTGTGGTTTTGGCCTATACCTCACTTTGATCTTAGTATCTATGGTTTTTGTGGCAACATATGGTGGAAAGTGGAGTATTTGTATCAAATTGAAGTGCCTGCTTGTTTGCTTTGGCGCATTACGCTTGTTGTTTGTGCTTTTATAGAACCTTTTAACTCATGAGGTATACTATCTTTTGAATTAAACTTGTGCGGCCCCTTTTTAACTAATTAAAACTTTTAACTTTCGGTACTTTGGGACACGTTTTTTACATTTAGCATTGTTGATTTTATCATTTAATGTAAGCCTGGTCTGCACTGTACTCTCTAAGAGCCCTTTATAAATGTTGTAGTGAGTTGGCATTGGTAAATTTCTAAATCAGTTCAGTAGTTGTGTGTCTGTTCTGTCACACAGTAGTAGAGGTTGTAACCACCACTTCTCACAATTTTCACCTTGTAGCTTCCACGTTATGTTTCAATCCATTAGAAAAATAACATAATTATCCAATGTTTAATAGATGACTGCTTTTCTTTTTCCTTTTTAGATAATAGCAAATTAGGTTGAAGGTTTACCCCTATATCCCATCATTATCTTTAAACCTTGTTCAATGCTGTCTTTGCTTCTTCCAATTTCTAAATGAGTGACTCCTCTTCCTTAAAATAAAAATTTTCTCTAGAATGATTCATTTTTGAAGACTGAAAAATGTTGCTCGAATGATCATCATCAAGTGGAAAGAGTTCACTGTGCTTGGAATGTGTTCTCACTACACAACTTTGTTGATTAAATCTCCTTCATTTTTGGCTTTAGGGACTGGTATAATCTTGAGAAGTCTAAGAGGGTGAAGGCCTTCCGTTGCGGAGAATATAACGGATGTATTGAGAGAGCAAAGGCTTCAGCAGCAAATTCTTGCAAGAAAGCAGTGAAATATGCTCGAAGAGAAGATGCTATTCTTCATGCACTTGAGATTGAGAGCACACGTTTAGGCAAGGATAATCCTGATTATTTCTCTAGAAAAGATAATTCTAGCTGTGACAAGGGTAGTTCAGCCAGAGAATCACCCACCATGTCTCATTCTGGGGAAGAAAATGAGGATATGTATGATGAAATGAGTGGATCTGAGGATGCTTCAGATTCAGCTCCAGAATTACCTCAGTCTGGCATATCCTTTGAAGAACCAAATCATCTTAATGGTACGAAGGGGTGCTCTAAGCTGATAAAGAGAAGGAAAACCCCAAATGATTCCGAGGATGATGGATCTCAAAGAATAAAGCGAATGAAAGGACTTGAGGATCTAGGTATGGGTGTAGGATCAAAAAGAAAATCCCAGGCTGCAGGTTCACTTGAGCTAGTTCAACATGATAATGCTTCATTCTATGGACCAAATACTGGAAGTTGCCTGTCTAATAGAGGTCCCATAAATGGTAGCAGAAGTCATTCATCGTCAGTGAAAAGAAAGAGATCTCAAGTGGAAAATATTCATGAATTCCTTAAAAGGAAAAACCGTCGTCGACCATTAACCAAGGTTTTGGAGAGTACAGCTATTGTGTCAGTTCCAGTTGTTTGTGATGAACTTCCAAGCCCAAGTTGTTCACCCTTAGGGGACTTTCTGACAGCAAGGTTTCAGGAATTGGTTCACGCAAAATTGCACCTACTGGAGTTTCATGTGAGAATGGTGTCTCAAATGCTTCTGAACGTGTTGCCGATGCTGGTGCTGATTGTGATGCATCTCTTACTTATAATAAGACAAAAGAAAATGAAATTTCCGGCTTACCAGAGTTAGTTGAAAATGAATCTTCTAACAGGTTATTTGATGTACCATTTGTTGGAGAAGATAAGCCATCTGCAGGTATTCTGAATTACATTTATGAACTGTAACATTTGTGTCTCCACTGATGATTCTTATGCGCATAAGCATACTCTTCTGCTTTGGCTTGTTGCAGCTGATTTGTATTCTAGATTGTTTTCTAGTCTTGTTACTGTTCACCATATTCATCAAATGTCTAACATAATGCTTGGTTTTTTGTGTCTACTTTATGATCTTCTCCCTGCATTTAGCTTTTACCGTGACTTGTGGTGAGTTCTGAGTTATCTTTGCCTTATAAATAATAAGATAAATATATATTTATTTGTTGGGAACTACATAACTAATGTCTTGTGTTTACATGATTGTGTCTAATAATATTTATACTACATGGATACAGACACGTGTTTATTTATGGTTGTGGTGATTGGGGCCAATTGTTTGCAACAGGTGTAGTCAGAGTTGTTCACCAATTAAATTAGCTTAACTCCATTTTGTTAGACTTTTTAGGGCTCCTAATTAGCCATAGCTAATGAACTGCAGGAAATTTGTGAGTTTGTATGTGATAGGATTGAAAGTTAAACATATATGTTTATGCTCTCACTCTATCAAAGGGCTGAACTCAAAACTGCATTGGCAATAAGGCCATAATTTGGACCTATAACTTGATTGATCCTGCTAGTGTTTCTTGTTGAATCACAATATGCCGGGAGATTTAAGTTGAAGTTAGACTAAGTTGAATCACAATTTGTTTCTTTCTCAGCCAATTGAATTTGATAAGTCTGTTTCCTTCTGCATCGACAACTATTCCACCTCCCCCCCTCCCCCCCTTTAATGTGATGATGTTGATTTAATTACATTGTCTTATAGTAGATTTAGAATAAGAAGGAATTTAATTCTGATAATGCCTCAGTTTATGGATTTTTCTTGCGAAAGCCCCAGTTGGCTCCATAACTCAATTCCGTTACCTTTTACTCTCTTGTCTTGCAGCTGTAGAATTATAATTTTTTTTACTATTGTTGCTGATAAATCACTTTATTCTGGCAGATTTTTCTCCAATATTTGTATCTTGTTCAACTGAGACACCTGAAGTTGGTGATTTGGGAAGGCAAACTGAAATTGAGGGGCATAATGAGTCTGGTTGTACCAAATCTGTGGATGTTCATGCACCTAGTATTAGCCAGAGGATGGAGAAAGGAACTGCTGAGTGGCAGTTAAAAGGAAAGAGGAAATCAAGACAAATAAGTAAAAACCAAAAACATGACTCGAGAAAATATCATGATGCAGATGATGAATCAAATGCTTATTTAGCAGGTATAGAGTTCTTGGATGGATTTTTTCAGGGTTCTGATCAGAAAGTTGATTGTGATGGAATTGGTGGGTCAGATTCTCCGTATTCTTGCACCTTGCAACCCAAGTCCAAGTCAGTTGTGGGAGAGCAGCTTGATGGTTGGCAGGACGGGAAGTTTGTGTCTCAGGAGCCTCTTGTGGGGGGACCAACAGAGGAAGCAAAAGCACTAGCTGATGGCTTTCTGACCCCTCAAAGGTCACTTCCATACCGTCAGTCCCGTTATATGGTTCACTCCAGATATCAGATGACAGGTATTCCTGGAAAAAGTTATTCTGCTGATTTGTCATTATACGATGTTAATATTGAGGTGAAAGCTAACTATCAGCCACAGAATGTTCCCTTAGTTTCCCTCGTTAGTAAGCTAGATGGAAAAGCCATAGTTGGTCACCCTGTAACAGTTTTTGAGGTTTTGAGTGATGATTACCATGGCAATCTGACTTGTGAAGCCTCTACAAAGGGTACAGAAAAGTCTGAAATTGGTCATTTAGCAAAGCTAAATTCAGAAGCTGGACGAGGCCCTAGGAAGCATATGAAATTGCAAGCGCATTTCCCACCCAGTATATCAGCAAAAGCAAGGAAATCTAAGAAATGTAAGAAATCTGGACTATTGTCTAAGAAGACTCGGAAATTGTCCTCATTGACTGGTCAGAAGATAGGTGCAGGTGACAGGAAACTGGTAGCAGAGAAGCCCAAGGATCCCGTTATAGCTTGTGTTCCACTTAAGTTAGTATTCAGTAGGATAAATGAAGCAGTAAACGGCAATCCATGAATAGGTGAAGCCTTCTATAGCGATGTGATCACACGGCGGCAACAGCTTGTGTGCATTTATTGTCTCCACATGTAAAATGGATCCCATTGTACAATTGAAAATCATATTGGATTGTTATAGAAAGAGAACTGGTAGGGAGCACTGTATATATGAAAAAGGTAACATGAGTTGGGGTTGTAAAGGAGGTAATATACATGACCTGATATTGGTTTTTTCTTTCTTTAATTTTATTTCAGGTTGAGGGGAAACTAACATAGATTTTGTTTGTTTTACTTTGTACCTTTATTTTTCCCATATTGTATTTGTGTACTAAAACCCTGACGGCATCGTTTGCCTTACCAACTTTGATGCCATCCCTCACTTGTTCCCAATCGACATTATTAGCCTATGCTACTCGTTGCCGCGCTCTTCATACCATCAACCTCCCACAAGTTCCTCTTTATGAGAGACAATACAAATAATGACTAAAGGTAACAATGACAACAAATTTAGGATTAGAATTTGGGTTAAAGAAGTTTTTAGTTTCATTTTTAAAGGGAGTTCAATTTTTTTTTTTAAGTTCAGAGTTGATTTTAAATGTAACATTTTTTTATTAATATGTGACGTCATCGAATTTACGAGATTTAAGTATTCAGTGTTCAAAATAAAGAAGACAGATAATGTAAACAATTAAATCATTACTTTTTTAAATTCGATAACCAAAATAAAATAGTGCATAACCAAAAGTGACTATCCTTGTAGTTTACCCAGTTTAACATTTTAAATAATCGTTTAAAAAAACAAAAAAGTTGATAAATTTTCATATTTGATTATTTTTTAAAACAATTATTAATTTTATTTAAAATATGAAATATCCTAAATTACGATAAAAAATGCACTTATAATCATAAATTAAACACGTAATTAGGACAATTTGCTATAATCATTGAAACAAAACTATCAACTTAAGATCGCATAAGAACCATACAAGGAAATATTAAAATATAACCAAGAAAACACAAATAGAGATAGATATAAACAAATCTGATCGCATCGACAAATGAACCACAACAAGGGGATTAAACTATTGAAAGACCACCGACAAAACGCAAATCATACTCGCGACGTGAAAAGCTATTCACGAACGTATAATGTGTATTCAAATTCAATCTGATGGTTCAAAACAGGGAAGATCAATAATATAATAGATAAGCGTCATCTTGATCAGTCGTGAAGATGTCTAATCAACCCTTAGAAAAAGATAAGTGAAACAACGATCAAAATGATCGAAAATATGTCAAAAGGCAGAAGAAAATATACTATAAAAATAAAGAAAAACATGTCATACAAACAGAGAAAAATGTGTCATATAGACAAATATATTGAAAATAAAAAACTAAAAACTAGAAAAAAGAGATGAACGAGTTATAGAGAAAATTATGAAAGATAGTTTTTTGATCTTTGAACCGAGTAAATGGGATTATATCTTACTCTTTATTTTGAACTATAAACTTATGAACAAAATATTTTTAGTAATCAAAATAAAAAAAAACCTACGTTTAGTAAAATAAATAAAAACGAAAATAGAAATAGAAATGCTTTAGACGTTGAATTAACGGGCTTCATAAGCCCAAAAACAAACATGAACAAGAACCGTAGAAACCCTAGTATCTGTAATCAGTATATATATATATTGTTAGACTTAATACTTTCTACCTGCCGCGCTCTTCGCCTTATTATTAAACCCTAAAAACCATCAGGTTATATTTTTATCTTAGATCAATTTAATAGTCCATTTCTGATTTTGTCTGATTTCGTCGGAGGATTTTAATCTTTGTGAGTGGGTCTGGCGCAGTGAGGTGCATGGTAAGAGAATATGGCGACAGTTCCGGGACAGTTGATTTGGGAGGTAGTGAAGAACAACAATTGTTTTCTGGTGAAGCAATTTGGAAGAGGAACTGCTGGTCTTCAGTTCAGCAAAGAGCCCAACAATTTGTACAATCTCAACTCCTACAAACATTCTGGTATTCTTTCGATCCAATGATTTCTTCTTCATCTTCATTTTTCTATTTTTTTATTCAAGGTTGTTGATCTTAGGTTTAAGGTGAACCTGATATCGTAGTTATTTTCCTTAGTCTTTCTTTTTCTTTTCATATTAAGCGAGTTGAACATGATATAATCAGCATATGCAACTAAGCTTATATGTTCCTGTTTTTAACTTGACTTAATCATTGCTGTGTAATTCTAGGGTTGGCAAACAAGAAAACGGTCACCATTCAAAGCGGTGGCAAAGATCAGTCCGTGCTGCTAGCAACAACCAAGACTAAGAAGCAGAACAAACCTTCCATCTTGTTTCACAAGTCTGTCATGAAAAAGGAGTTCCCCAGGATGGTCAAAGCAGTCAAAAACCAGGTAAATAGATATAGTTTTCTGAGATGTCTTTTTGCTTTTTTTTTACTAGATTTGCAGTCAATAATTTACTTACTGTTGGGTTTGTCTTGTGTGGGAACGAAATTGTTTGTCTAACTAGTTAATTTGTTGGATCACTAATGATGATTCGTTTAAAGGTCATGTTTGCTTGTATTCAAATATAAGTTTTCTTGGAGATCTTGCAGTGATGAAGCAATAACATGTAAGAAGGATCTATTTGTTGGGTTCTTCCGTGAAATGTACTTGTTACGCTTGGCTTCTGAGCTTTGAAAGTTATAAAATTTGTTTCAATGCTTATTGTTCGGTTTTATAAATCAGGTCAATTCTAATCACAATGTTCTAATTTATGAATAATTTTTCTAATGATGGATGTTTCAAACATTACAGGCGAAAGACAACTACTACAGGCCTGATTTAACTAAAGCAGCCCTCGCAAGGTTGAGTGCCGTGCACAGGAATCTGAAGGTAGCTAAGTCTGGTGTCAAGAAGAGGAACAGGCAAGCACTGAAGGTTCGTGGCAGGAAGTGAGCTAGATAGACGTTTCAAGTTGTATGTGCTCTTCTATTTTCATTGTACCAGACAACTTTTACCACCTTTTTGAAATTGTCTTCTTTTTATTATCTTTGTTCCATGGAATTATCTTATTTTCATTGCTGGTTGTTAGAATTTTAAATCTACATTATTTTCGAACCGAATGGATCGGCATGGTTCTTAACCGTTTGTTTTCGTAATTTTTCCATTATACTCTCTAATTTTCATTGACATTGAGAAAATCTAGTATTTCTTTTGGTATAACCATCGGTGTCTGATTTATTAATCGATTAATCCGGATTGAATACTGCATAAGCAAGGGCAACCCTCCCAATCAAGTTTACTCCATTCACAAATGTCAAAATTCGAATCGGGATCTATCAAGAGTTAGTAGTATTTCATACGCTCGTAACAAAGTTATTTTTAATCTTCAATCAAATTTACGATAATATTTTCTAATTATTAAGATAATTTTACTGTTTCATTATTATTAAAGCAGACCTTCACCGGAAACACGCTTTTAAATATTTAGTCATAGACCAAAGTTTTATAGGAAACTAGAAAACCATCTGCAAGTATGTTGAAAAGTCTGGTCAATTATGCAGTTCCGTGTTACTTATCAAAATTTAATAAATGGTATATGTTTTAGAATAAGCAATCATTTACGACATTCTGTGTTGATCCCCATAGGACATAGTACATAACTACATAACCATGTCTGTCAAGAGTAGCGTTGATCCGGAGGACAATGGTGACGAAGCCGACAGGAGCAGGGTTGGTGGTAGTAGTAACACGAAGCGCAGAAGCTTCAACCGGTGTTTCTCCCTCATGGAGGTTCCAATGGAACCTGGAGTATCATCATTGAAGGAGCTAGATTCTAACAAGTTCAAGGCTGAGATCAAGCGATGGGCTAAAGCTGTTGTGGGATATGCTCGTCAAGTGAGTGGTCGTTTAGGAAGAAGCTCCAGGAAAAGTGATCGATATGGGAGCTCTCGAAACTCCCCGTCGCATGGGGCTTAGCTATAAGCTTGTTGAAGGCCCTCTAACTCAGTCTTATATTGATTGGTATTAGATGCAGATATTGGATGTTTTCTTTTTCCTGGTTTGAACTTGGAAATTCATCATCTGTTTAAGGCTGAAGAATCTACATGTTGAGTCCTGAGATTGGGAGAATCGGGTGATGATATCCAACCAAAGATGAGACCAAATCCATGGGACCATGGCTGACAGTATAAAGATGAATTACAAGGCTTAAGATTCATAGAAGATGAAACAATTCAGGACCTCTTACGTAGTTTATACATTGTACATAATTTTCTTTTGATTTTTTTTGTTCGTTTACCAGATTCATTGAATTTCCTGTAATGTTAAGGTAATTTTTTCATGAATATTCATCGATCACAATTTGTTATACCTTTAGTGTATAATGGTATAAAATAATATTAATTATAATTTAAAGAATAATATAATAATCTCGAATTAAATAGTGATGATTATGTAACATTAAATTTAATTAAAATTTTAATTATTAATAGTGTTAATTGTATAAAATGTATTTTAATTGTGATTTTATTTTAAATTGGTCCATGTCCTTTAAAATATTTTATATCAATTCTTAAATACAATCTAATTCTAATTTTGTTCAAAAAATGTAAAATATTTTGAGGACTTGCATAAGTCCTCAAAATATTAATAATATTCTATTTGATCCTTCTGTTAACGTCTAATTAGTACTATTATTTTTTAAATGTTTTAGGAATTGAACTCGTGGTTTTTTAAAAAGGTTAAATATATTTTTAAAGGTTTTATAAATCAAAGTCGTCGCCTAAAAAATAATATGTTTTCAATTGTCTTGAAATTCTTTTAAAAGGTGTTTAATTCTCAAGACCTTTAACAATAGATTATTTTTCTAACGAGTAGAATAAACGCTATGTTAACAAAAATATCAAAGTATAATAACATTGGTTATTGATGATTCATATAGAATGTTCTAAAAGTTAGAGACTAATTTAGAATGGGGTCATAGTTTGAGGACTAATATAAAATATCTTTTAAGTGCAAGGATTAATTTAAAATATGGGATATAATATAGGGATATCCTGAACAATTATCTCTTATTAGTATATACAGGTAGATTACGCATTTATGGATCGGTGACTACGTATTTTCTTATTGCTAAATTAGGAAAGAAAAAGAATATTTTGTTGAGTGGTCCGCCATTTACGCGGCTTTTCTACTTTCGTCCCGTCTTCCATAATAACCAAAAGGTCCAAAACATAAAAAGAAAGCGAAAACGAAAGAAAATCCTGAACCCTAAAGTCAAATATTTCTCTGCAGACAAACAAAACAAATCTAGCCATGGGTAACACCGAGAAGCTCTTGAACCAGATCATGGAACTCAAATTCACGTCTAAATCGCTGCAACGCCAGGCAAGGAAGTGCGAGAAGGAAGAGAAATCTGAGAAATTGAAGGTAAAGAAGGCGATGGAGAAAGGTAACATGGACGGAGCTCGTATCTACGCCGAGAACGCCATTCGCAAGCGCACTGAGCAGATAAACTACCTTCGGCTCGCGTCCCGGCTCGATGCTGTTGTTGCCAGGCTCGATACCCAGGCTAAGATGACCACCATTAATAAGTCCATGGCTAATATAGTCAAGTCCCTCGAATCTTCCTTGAACACAGGTAATTTCTCCCTCAGTGATTTTGCTTTTAAAATTTTGATCGCCTTATGGCGATCTCTTTTAGTACAAATTCGCATTCAGGACAATATAGGGTACGATTGAAGAACAAAAAAAGAAGAAGCAATTTTCGATCTTTCTTTTGGGATTCAATTGGCCTTGATTGAAAAATAGTGTGCATATATTGGCTTAAAGTAATTTCTTTCAAATTTTGTTCTTGTTTACTAAATCACTTTAAATTCGGCATAATTCCATATTTTCCATGTCGGTATGATGAAATTCGCTTTTTTGTTGCAGGCAATTTGCAGAAGATGTCTGAGACAATGGATCAATTCGAGAAGCAGTTTGTGAATATGGAGGTCCAAGCGGAATTTATGGAGACTGCTATGGCTGGTTCTACTTCATTGTCCACGCCAGAAGGTGAGGTCAACAGCTTGATGCAACAGGTTGCTGATGATTATGGGTTGGAGGTCTCTGTTGGGTTGCCACAACCAGGTGCTCATGCTGTGTCAACCAAGATCGAGGAGAAGGTTGATGAGGATGATTTGTCGAGGCGACTTGCTGAGCTTAAGGCTAGAGGTTAGAAAAATGATGGATTTGATTTGAATGATCTTGTGGTATATAATAGCATTTATGATGTTTGGGATCGCAAGTGCTCTGCTTAAAACACCTTATTCCATATGTAAATTTGACTGAATATGGTTCCCCTTTATAATTTTAAATGCTGCATTTATCTCATATAAATTAGCTTTAGCGTGAATTTTAGGTGTCAAAAGCATCCCTTAATCCCTGAAACAATTTGATATGTGGGATGATCAAGTCTCCTTGCATGCACTGCTAGAGCTTACCCGTTGGTTCTGGTCTGTATGATCTTGGTGTTTCAATATTGAGCATAAGCTTGTGGTTAAAGAAGATATTCATGATTATGAGGGTTTGATAAGCAGTTCAATCTTTTCTTGCACGTCAAGTAAATGGATTAGGTTAACGCTGCTGAAAGTAAGCATGCATATTTGGATGATCACTGTTTAGCTGATTGATGGTCTTTCATTTAATATGTTTTCTGCTTAATTTAGAGAGATGGCATTTAAGGTTATGCTGATGTTTTTGTGATTTCCCCTTCTCATTGGGTATGTGAACGCACAAAGATACTTACAGGGATGTTTATCCATTAGTTTGATAGTTGTGGATAGATCTACTGAATAAAACACTAAGGTATACATCATTTTTATATAGGGTTGTAGTTTCTTCTAACAAAAAACATTAAATGAATCCACAACCAAACAAAGACCCAAACACGTTTAAGAACTGCATCTATACCATTATAAAAGGGGATGAAAAGGAAAAAAGATCCAAATTGTAGTGTGATAATACCCAATCAAACATTACCCTACCCTTCAAGAACTCCTTTCCTGGGCTTCCAACTTAATCTAAAAAAATCAACATTGAACGCTTCAAATGACGTCAACTGAGAAATCGATTCAGATATACTTGTGCCATTGACAAGGTCCTCAGTTTCTATGTTATCCAGAAAGAGCTGAAAGTGCCACCAGCATTTGTTAGCTGCAGCGTTGTATGTGCAGCAGCCGGGATCCTTCTCTCTTGCCATTAGTTTCTTACGCACTAGCTGTAACTTGGGAAAAAAGAAAAGTTATACAGGTAAAAGTAAGGATCCGGTTCCATAAAACAAGGTTACTAAGGATATAATTTGTTACATAGAAACATTTAGCTTCAAAGAGCAGCATTTCATACCTCGGGGAGACTGCTCTTGGAAGTTGAAAATGATGATAGTGTCGCTGGACGTGAAGTTTGTAAAATATCATCCAGAAGATTCTTGATAAAGCATAGACACACGGAAGAAAGATTTCCTTTGGCTTTTCATAAATGACGATGTTCTTGATAAAGCATACCAAGCAAGATGGCAGAAATTTGTGAGGATGGTCGATTTGTATAATAACATTTATTGATAAAACAACTATAAACGTGAAATTGGAAAGGAAGATGCCTTATCGCAGTGGAGCACCAATTTCAAACCACTACTGTAATCAAACTTCTCCAGAAATTTTTGCAAACTAGCAAACCAAGGGGCGTGATCATCTTCATTTTGGAATAGAGGTTCACATTGCCATGATGGTTCAAAGCAAAGTTTGGCTTCTTCTAACCTCAAAGGATTCAACGACGTAAAGGGATCAGCTTCTCACCTTTGTACTCGAATGAAATAAGGTTTGGGGTATCAATGTCAGCCTCCATTAGTTGCTTGCATTCTCTCAAGATAAGTGTCTTAAGCTGATTGTTTGATATTATAATATTTTTCAAGGCATTACATCTGCTCAAGACCAACTTTTCAAGGAGAGGGAAACAAGACAGTGATTTTGAAACGAC